CAGGAAACAACCAGTCAGAGGTCCAGTCTGAGGCCTGTGATTGGTAGCCACTAACCACTTCCTGTTCTGTCCCTCAGGTGCTGTCTCAGCTGACTCCGCCCCTCATCGCCGAGATGGATGCGTTGCTGGGCAACAAGCCAAGAAATGTGAAGAAGGAGGCGAGAAGATGAAGATGAGGAAGAGTTCAGACTGTAGATAATCAGAAATATTTATTCTTGTATTAATCTTCACATCTTCATTAATACAGTAAAATATTCAGATGGATAAACTGTGACTCGAAAACAGTTAAAAACAGAGAAAAGTAACGAGAAGGTTTGAAGCTGGTATCAAAGGAAACTTTTATGGTAAAACCATTAAAATGTAAATATGTTTGTTTCCTAGTTAATCATGTAGGGATTTATGGAAGTTCCTTAATTAAACAATGTTTGTGAGGAGCTGCAGAAATAAAAATCTAGATTTTATGAAACTGTGAAACACATAAATATGTATAACAATAAAACGTACAAACAGAAGCACAAACTTTTTTCTAGTTAGGAAATAATAACTTGGTTTTATTTTGTAAACAATCACAAATATCACATGAACGTAGAGTTTTATTTTTATATATTACTATAATTTTTCTCATCACATATTAAGCCCCGCTGTGAATTACATCCTTGTGTTTTATGATATTAGGATATTTATGAAATAAAGGCACAAGTAAACTAAATTTAAAATTAGTGTAAAAAACACAATCATGCTTCAAACTTCTCACTCCAGGTAAATATATATAATAAAAGTATTTTTATTTAATCCAGAGTTTTTCTTTTAGGCTTTGTTTTTTGGCATACACAGGCTTCCGTATCTCAATAAGCGCTATTTGTATTTCAAAATAAAAGCCTGCTCCTGAGTACTCTGTACTGAAAATATATTTATGAGTACATTTATTGTGAAATGGGAAATGTGTATTTTATGAATGTAGCTGCTGCTCCCTCCTGTGTGTGTTTAGATAGAGAAGACATTTAACTCAGTGGTGCTCAACCTGAGGAGACGGGACCTCTCAGGAGTCAGGACCTCCTCACATCTTGAAGGAAACGAGTATATTTTCCATCCCAATTACAGTGAACACAGTAAGATTAATGTGACTCAGTGGAGGTTACAACATGAACACAACACCAACAGGCGAACTTTAACCAGGTACCTGACAGGTGTTTGGTCTCCTGATGGGTGGATGTGAAGCTGTGTGATTCAGGCTGTAAAAATCAGAAACACCACCTGTGCACCGGCTTCAGTGTGGCTGATGTTTGACTGGAAGTCCCTTTATGTTCCTCAGTGTGCTGTGAAGCTGCTGGAACTTGGTTTTCATTCATGTGGCGTTGATAAAGATGGAGGTAAATCTGCTGAATCTGGAGGGTGGAGACTGTTTCCTGTGTCACTGAAGGTTCTCCATCTGATGCTGGGAGTAGAGCTCATGTTGCAGATCCACCAGTGTGTGCTGGCAGGAGGACAGATCAGCTGACACAACAAATTCAAGTCAGTTTGAAGCAGACGTTGATGTTTGCTGTCAGTCTGAGGTCAGAGGTCAGGCTAGACAGGTCTGAGCATATCAGCTGGGGTAAAAATGATCCAGAGGTGCACGAGAAGAAGATCAAGAACATTTAACCAGGTGTTTATTCCTATGAATCAGACCTGCTTCACATGGGCTCTGTGTGACTTACGTATTTATGTAAACCTGCTGATCAGGCTCAGAGTCAAAGTCAGTAACAGAGACAAACTCATGTAAATATGTAAAAATAAAACCAATAATAAAGCTCATCCTTGGTGTTTATTACCCAGAGTTTATAATCAGAGTTGGTCTTTTAAACACTGAAATAATCAGTATTAATTTTCACTGCATAATTCAAACATTCGTAATCAAACCAGTCGAGTTTCCTGATGTTTCCACTCTGCTGGAGCTTTTTGACCCAAGCTCAGTTTATTATTTCAGTTTCACTCTGATCAGAAAAATCCAAATTATGCTGTTCTTTAATGAGAATAAAAAAAATAAATAAAAATGACCCTTTGAAATAAATACTGTGAGTACCTACACAACATTTATGTTAAAAATATGAAATAATGTGTAAAATAAACGCTGTGATTCATTATTGAAGCGTTTTTCTTTGTTAGATCATCACCTGTTTACGCTCACAACAAAGAAACATTATTATCCTTTCAATTTGACTCCACTGATCACCTGACTGAAACTGTGTGACCGTTACCATGACGACCAGCTGGATCACAAAGTTTCCTCCATCTTCCTGTTTAACCCCTCCTACCGCTCTGTGTGTAAGAATACCAATAAAGTTATTCAAATCTGGATGAGAGTGTCTGCCTCTGACCACCAGGTGGAGCTAAAGTCACACAG